GACATTACCTTTCTGGGAAGATCTATTAATTTTGGTTTTGAACCTTATTTCTCTTTTACCCTACCTTTACTGAAAAACGATTGGAATTGACAGAATCAGACAAAATAATGTATTGCACCCAAATTAAGATTTTAGACCTCACAGAAAGACACAAGGGAATAGGACTAAAAACTATTTTACAATATACAATTTTAGTATCTGTGAAGCCCATTTCATGTGTTCATTCATTCATTTTACTGATAGGGCAGCAATTCTATGTATGTTTATGTAATAATAGGTTCCATAATGCAAAAGTTTTCATTCATTCTATATGAATAATATTGACTCGTTAGGTTGCTTGTTTGTTTTCTTCATTTGTTGTGTTTTTTTTTAATGAATCATGAGCAAATGGAGCTTAACTGAAAGACAGGATTGAAACAATTCAGCTGAGTAAGCTGAATTTGTAATTTAGATATGGCAAAAGAATGTGCAACACTAAATAATTTATTTTTCTTAAAAATTAAAACCTAAAAATCCTCAAAGTTTCATTGGAAATATGCTTGAATATTTTCTTTAGCATCTGTGCATCAGCTGTTAGCTCTCCTTCAGTAAATGAAAACAAAAAAAATAAATAAAGCAGGGGTAGATTTTTCACTAGATTGATTCCTGACTTAATTCTCAGCAGAGATACCTTACACAGAATCACAGAATCTTGGGGGTTGGAAGGCACCTCAAAAGATCATCCAGTCCAACCCCCCTGCTAGAGCAGGATCACCCAGAGCACATCACACAGGAACACGACCAGGTGGATTTTGAATGTCTCCAGAGAAGGAGACTCCACAACCTCTCTGGGCAGCCTGTTCCAGTGCTCTGTCACTCTCACAGTAAAGAAGTTTTTTCTGATGTTTACATGGAACCTCCTATGTTCCAGTTTGCATCCATTGCCCCTTGTCCTATCACTGGACATCACTGAAAAAGCCTGACTCCTTCCTCCTTACAGTGGCCCTTAATGTATTTGTAACCATTGATAATGTAACCCCTCAGTCTCCTCTTCTTCAAGCTAACGAGACCCAGCTCCCTCAGCATGGACATTCTGTGATTCTGTGATTTAAATTATTATTTGCCCTTCAAGGAGGAATTTTGCATAAAACTTTACAGGAACATTATCTTGTAAAAACCACATTCTGCATTTTTTTCTTGTCTGAAACTCTGTCTATTCTTACTCAAATTCTTCCCCATATTTCAGTCCAATAGAAAAAGCTTGTGCCATAACAGCTGTAATTTGAATCTTCCAGAGAATCATAAGAATGATGCACAGAGATAAATCCAGTTCTTCCCCATCTCTAAAACAGATGGGGCTTGTATCTGACAGGATTACCACAGCAGTTCCTTTGGCAATTTGATTTTCCCTTGATAAGCCAGGTTAGTTCTGATATGTTACTCAGGAGATAGAAGATAATACAGCAAAGTGTTTGAGGTTAGACTACAGTTCCACAACCACTTTCTGTTTTGGTTTCTAACTAGGCCATTATTACATGATGTTCCATTTAAAGTGTTAAAACTCTTAAAATCACAAGATAGCCCTTTTTAGGCAAACATCTACTGCTCAAAACTCATAGCTAATTTTTAAAATATTTTTACAATGTCAGTAGAAAAGCTCCAAGTCATATTAAAATCTACAATTGTTTTAGATTTGACTTTCCAAATCAAGGTTAAAGGCTCTTCTTGAATATTGGAAGGCAATTGTACTGTTGCTGTAGCTATTCTGTTGAACATAACAGGTCAGCTTTTAAGGATGCCAGTACTATTATCACTCACAACCCTTAAATACCCTTAGAAGATGTTAAGGAGCATTAGAAATACTCAGTAGCTGTTATAATATAATAAAATACTGTTTGGTGAAATTATTTTACTGAATATTTTTTTTCTAAACCGAAGAATGACAATACTTTAAATTGCAGCCACTAACTGAGTTTCAAGGCTGATGCTGGGGGCAGGTATGTCATACTTTGCAACTTTGCTTTATATAGGTTCACAAAAATGTTGTATTTGGATTTAATTCCCTGTAAATTTATCTTCTACTCTGTTGAAATTCTGGCTTTTCTTCAATAAAAAACAAGACAAACAAAAATCCTAAAACCAACAAAAAAACCTAGCACAAACTAAATCTCAGCTGAAACATTCAATTTATACCATTTTCTGTTCAAAATATCACCTCTAGTGTGATTTTCATATTAAACTAGACATTTACAAAACTTAAATGCCTGTTCTGTAACTTTCTTTCAGCTTCTAGGATATGAGGAAACCAAAATCAATGAAGTTTGCTTTTGGTTTTAATTTCTTTTGCTATAAAGGTATGAATAGCTCACATTGTAGGTTTCCTGTCAACTATACATTTAAATTCATTTAGAAGAAAGGGTTATTTCCATTACTGATTATGATATATGAAAGATGACACACATGCTTAAAAAAAACCCCAACAACAGAAATCTAA